CTCCTCCGCCCTCCGTTGTTGCGGGAGGGCGACTGCCTCCAACTGCCCAGTAGCAGCGTCCTTCACGAGCCTCCTCCACTGAGGCCGATCTTGACACCGCTGGTACCAGTCATCGGCAAGTCCACTCAGCTCCACATCCTCCTGTACCACGTCACTCCATCTCTTCTCTAGCCCGTGTCGTGCCCGTTTAGCCCCCTCTGTGTGGTCAAAGTGGCTGGACATTCCAGCCAGGTTAAACCCAGGATGGATCGTAGGCAGGCCAGCCTGAATGTTTCTATCTGTGTTCCATTTAAGGGGATCAACGTTTCGCAAAGCGTAGGAAGGGAGGGAATGACCGTGGCCGAGAAGACCCGAAGCTTCGTGCGGAGCGACAGACCAGGTAGCTTCCACACAGCGTTACGCAACCGATGAAAAGATATTGCCGCTCGACTGATTTGGAGTGAGACCTCTGCTGTCAAACTGGAGCCGGTCATAAGCACACTGCCCAGGTATGGGAAACTCTCCACTCTCTCCACAACTGCCCCATCACCGATTGGGAGTTGTGGGGGTGGAGTGTTTGATGGCACAAAATACCCAGGCAGGTTGCTTAGTTATGGAGAGGCTGATGGTAAGGCCCCACCTCTTAGTGGCACGCTCCAGGTTCAGCAGCAGCGCCTCCAACTCCTTCTCTGAGTGAGCAGCACTTACCAGATCATCGGCATACATAACATGATTGACCAATAGGGAGCCATCCTTCGACCGCACCTGGTCATCGATCAGCCTCCCATTGTATCTGTTCCAGATGGAAATTGCTCCGGTACAGCTATTGAAGGCTTCACGAACTACGTGGTCAAAGATGATGCTAAATAATGTTGGAGCCAGATGACATCCCTGTCGCACCCCAAGGTGAACAAGGAATGGCTCCGACTCCTGGCCACGTAGTTTTACCCGAGCCCACTCACCATCATGAAGGTCCTTAATGATTTTGAGCAGAGAGTCAGCTACTCTAAAATTACGAAGAACAGCCCAGAGCCCAGGCCTACTGATGGTATCATAGGCCTTGACCAGGTCAATAAAGCAGAGATGTAGGTCTTGCTGGAATTCCCTACACCTCAGCTGTAGCAGACGGACAGAGAATATGAAACCGCATTGGGGCTCCGCAAGCCTCTCCTCAGCATGCCCGGCAAGACGATGTCGAATAATCCTTGCCAGGACCTTTCCCGGCACACTGAGGAGTGAGATGCCCCTGTAGTTGTTACAATTAGGATATCCTTCAAATCCTGCAGAACCCGTCCAGTGATCCAGACAGCTGTGATGTCATCTAGGGCAGTCTGCACACAAACTCCACCCTCCCTCAGCATTTCGCTTGGGAGATCATCTCTGCCCGGCGCTTTTCCTGGTCTCAGACTTGGGATCGCCCCTCACACTTCCTCGACAGATGGAACCTCAGCCAAACACTCAGAAGGGGTGGCTACTTCTGCCAATATTTGAGGCACCACAGCCCTAGCAAGGTCTTCCGCACCTTGCCCCATGATGTCTGGGCTGAGGGAATTCCCCTCCCCCAAGACATCACAGAAATGCTCTGCAGACCTGCCACTGGGGGGTCGGAGATCGGATTACCGTTCTTTCGCTTAGGGATGGTGATAGGTGAGGCGCTGAAATTATCTTCTTTTATGGAATTAAATAGTGACTGGTGATTGCGGCCTACCGAGGTAGATTTCACCTCCTCAGCAAGCCGCGACCACCACTCATCCTTGCAGCGCCGCACGGCTCTCTCCAAATCTCCGTGTGAAGGCTGCGGTAAGCCTCCTCCTCATCCGATGTTCAATGCTGTAAACAATGGAAGTGGGCCTGTGGCTTCCCCTCAACCAGCCGGAACACCTACTACTTCGGCCAGGATCTCTGGGGAGGTCTGGACCGCGCACCCAAATGCAGTCGCTGCAGCTGCATGAGCCACAGTCCTGAACCTCGCCCATTTCCCCTCCGCATCAGAAGGACGATGCCAACCCCAGCTGCAAGCGATGTTGAACTATCCCCAGCTAGCTGAGATCAGGCCACTGTGGGTTTGTATGGGGTCCTAGATGGACACCCACCACCTGAGTGGAAGAATGGCAGGCGCATCTTACAGATGACAAGTCGATGGTCAGTGGGCAGATCAGCTCCACGGTATGTCCTGGTGTCAAGGACATGGGCCTGCATTCACGTTTCCATCACTATGTAGTCCAGCAGATGTTCTTGCTTGGACCCGGCGTGCATCCATGATGTGTGTGGATGCACCGATGCCGGAACAGCGTGTTGGTAATTACAAGCCCGTGGGCTGCACGAAATTTTAGAAGCCTCCTACCGTTGAGCTGATTTGGCCCATACCTTCCAATCACTCCAGACCAGGTGCCAGCATCATGACCAACTCGGTCATTGAAGTCACCAACAAGATGACTCTGTCCCGAGTGGCCACTTTAGCCAGCACCTGTGACAGGAGGTCATAGAAGGCATCTGACTCATCGGTCTTACCTGCATCCCTCCACGGATGTTCGTCTTCGGTGGGGGCATAAGTAACCACGACCACCACTCCTCGCCTCTTGTTGATGGGGAGGCGAGCCCACAGTAGCCTGGGGCTTACAGCTTCCCACACCTCACCGCCACGCTCCCACACCGCCACCACCATCGTCACCACTCACATGGTCACCACCATCATCACCACTCACATCTTGACCACCATCATTACGATGACGATCATGGCGGTGTCGATTAATCGATCAATTGGTTACCTCCCCCCCCCCACCAGATTGTCCCAGACAGAGGGGAGACCGCAGACAGCTGACACATGCTGTAGTTCCTGGGGGGGTCACAATAGCACCCCCCTGACCCTCCCCCCCTCTCTGATTCCCCCCCCCCTTACCCCTAAAAATTCCCGCCCCTTCACTGTGTGTGTGAGCGTTGTTTTTCTATGAACCTGCTGTGAATGTTGGGCTGGGTGGATCACTCTCCTTTTGGATGATGGGCTGGGTGGCTCACTCTCCTATTGGATGATGGGATCGGTGGCTCACTCTCCTATTGGATGATGGGTGGGTGGCTCACTCACCTATTGGATGATTGGCTGGGTGACTCACTCTCCTATTGGATGATGGGCTGGGTGACTCACTCTCCTATTGGATGATGGGCTGGGTGACTCACTCTCCTATTGGATGATGGGCTGGGTGACTCACTCTCCTATTGGATGATGGGCTGGGTGGCTCACTCCCTATTGGATGATGGGCTCTCTACCCACTCTCCTATTGGATGATGGGCTGGGTGGCTCACTCACCTATTGGATGATGGGCAGGGTGGCTCACTCACTCTATTGGATGATGGGATCGGTGGCTCCTCTCCTATTGGATGATGGGCTGGGTGGTTCACTCACCGATATTGGATGATGGGCTGGGTGGCTCACTCTCCTATTGGATGATGGGCTGGGTGGCTCACTCTCCTATTGGATGATGGGCTGGGGCTCACTCTCCTATTGGATGATGGGCTGGGTGACTCACTCACCTATTGGATGATGGGCTGGGTGGCTCACTCACCTATTGGATGATGGGCTGGGTGGCTCACTCTCCTATTGGATGATGGGCTGGGTGGCTCACTCTCATTGATGATGGGCTGGGTGGCTCACTCTCCTATTGGATGATGGGCTGGGTGGCTCACTCACCTATTGGATGATGGGCTCTCTACCCACTCTCCTATTGGATGATGGGCTGGGTGACTCACTCACCTATTGGATGATGGGCTGGGTGGCTCACTCTCTGATTGGATGATGGGATCGGTGGCTCCCTCTCCTATTGGATGATGGGCTGGGTGGTTCACTCTCCTATTTAATGATGGGCTGGGTGGTTCACTCACCTATTGGATGATGGGCTGGGTGGTTCACCCTCCTATTGAATGATGGGCTCTGTGGCTCACTCTCCTATTTAATGATGGGCTGGGTGGCTCACTCTCCTATTGGATGATGGGCTGGGTGGCTCACTCACCTATTGGATGATGGGCTGGGTGGCTCACTCTCCTATTTAATGATGGGCTGGGTGGTTCACTCACCTATTGGATGATGGGCTGGGTGGTTCACTCTCCTATTGAATGATGGGCTGGGTGGCTCACTCTCCTATTGGATGATGGGCTGGGTGGCTCACTCACCTATTGGATGATGGGCTCTCTACCCACTCTCCTATTGGATGATGGGCTGGGTGACTCACTCACCTATTGGATGATGGGCTGGGTGGCTCACTCTCTGATTGGATGATGGGATCGGTGGCTCCCTCTCCTATTGGATGATGGGCTGGGTGGTTCACTCACCGATTGGATGATGGGCTGGGTGGCTCCCTCTCCTATTGGATGATGGGCTGGGTGGTTCACTCTCCTATTGGATGATGGGCTGGGTGGCTCACTCTCCTATTGGATGATGGGCTGGGTGGCACATCAACCTATTGAATGATGGGCTGGGTGACTCACTCACCTATTGGATGATGGGCTGGGTGGCTCACTCTCCTATTTAATGATGGGCTGGGTGGTTCACTCACCTATTGGATGATGGGCTGGGTGGTTCACCCTCCGATTGAATGATGGGCTCTGTGGCTCACTCTCCTATTTAATGACTTCTATCGATCTATCTATTTATTATCGTCGCGATGCCTTTTTGGATGGGTTGGGGGGGGGGCTTTAATTTGTTAACGTTTACAATTACGCGCCTGCGTGCGTGTGTACACGTGTGTGTGTGTGTGTACACGTGTGTGTGTGTACACGTGTGTGTGTGTGTGTACACGTGTGTGTGTGTGTGTACACGTGTGTGTGTGTACACGTGTGTGTGTGTGTACACGTGTGTGTGTACACGTGTGTGGTGTGTGTGTACACGTGTGTGTGTGTACACGCGTGGTGTGTGTGTGTACACGTGTGTGTGTGTGTACACGTGTGTGTGTGTACACGTGTGTGTGTGTGTGTGTACACGTGTGTGTGTGTACACGTGTGTGTGTACACGTGTGTGTGTACACGTGTGGTGTGTGTGTGTACACGTGTGTGTGTGTGTGTGTACACGTGTGTGTGTGTGTGTATACGTGTGCGTGTGTGTGTACACGTGTGCGTGCGTGTGTACACGTGTGTGGTGTGTGTATACACGTGTGCGTGCGTGTACACGTGTGTGTGTGTACACGTGTGTGTGTGTGTGTACACGTGTGTGTGTGTGTGTACACGTTGCGTGCGTGTGTACACGTGCGTGCGTGTGTACACGTGGTGCGTGTGTGTACACGCGTGTGTGTGTGTGTACACGTGTGTGTGCGTGTGTACACGTGTGTGTGTGTACACGTGTGTGTGCGTGTGTACACGTGTGTGTGTGTGTACACGTGTGTTGTGTGTGTACACGTGTGTTGTGGTGTGTACACGTGTGTGTGTGTACACGTGTGTGTGTGTGTGTACACGTGTGTGTGTACACGTGTGCGTGTACACGTGTGTGTGTGTGTACACGTGTGTGTGTGTGTGTGTACACGTGTGCGTGTGTATACGAGTGTGTGTGCGTACACGTGTGTGTGTATACGAGTGTGTGTGTGTACACGTGTGCGTGTGTATACGAGTGTGTGTGTGTACACGTGTGCGTGTGTATACGAGTGTGTGTGTGTACACGTGTGTGTGTGTACACGTGTGTGTGTGTGTGTACACGTGTGTGTGTGTGTGTACAGTTGTGCGTGGTGTACACGTGTGTGTGTGTGTGTACACGTGTGCGTGTGTACACGTATGTGTGTATGTGTGTGTACACGTGTGTGTGTGTGTACACGTGTGTGTGTGTGTGTGCACGTGTGTGTGTGTGTGTACACGTGTGTGTGTGTACACGTGTGTGTGTACACGTGTGTGTGTGTGTACACGTGTGTGTGTGTGTACACGTGTGTGTGGTGTGTACACGTGTGCGTGTGTACACGTGTGTGCGTGTGTGTGTACACGTGTGTGTGCGTGTGTACACGTGTGGTGTGTGGTGTACACGTGTGTGTGTGTGTGTACACGTGTGCGTGTTGTGTACACGTGTGTGTGTGTACACGTGTGTGTGTGTACACGTGTGTGTGTGTGTACACGTGTGTGTGTGTGTACCGTGTGTGTGTGTGTACACGTGTGTGTGTACACGTGTACCACGTGTGCGTGCGTGTGTACACGTGTGTGTGCGTGTGTACACGTGGGTGTGTGTGTGTACACGTGTGTGTGTGTACACGTGTGGTGTGTACACGTGTGCGTGTGTGGTACACGGTGCGTGTGTGTGTACACGTGTGTGTGTGTACACTGTGTGTGTGTACACGTGTGTGTGTGTGTACACGTGTGCGTGTGTGTGTACACTGTGCGTGTGTGTGTACACGTGTGTGTGGTGTACACGTGTGTGTGTGTGTACACGTGTGCGTGCGTGTGTACACGTGTGGTGTGTGTACACGTGTGTGTGTGTGTGTACACGTGGTGTGTGTGTGTGTACACGTGTGCGTGTGTGTGTACACGTGTGCGTGCGTGTGTACACGTGTGTGTGTGTGTACACGTG